CCCACCCCCCCCAAGTTTCTTTCCCTGGTTTATTTTCTTACAGGCTGAGGACTGTTGTTTTCCGATTGTCCAGAACTAGAGATATCAAGGCTGTTTGTTACATTCATACTGGTTGGACAGGAGAGATGAGTACATAGGGAAGAGCCAGGACTGTGCCTCTGCCATCCCATTTTTGAAGACAATTGGAATTAGGTCCTTTTCTGTATTGTCTCAACAAAAGGCTAATTAGCAAGCTTGAGCTCCTAGAGGATAATTAAGCTTTATAACTGTGGGTTCTCTTTGCTTGATGAGAAAGAGACAGTACCCTCAGAGCATAAGAATGCTGCTCGGCAGCTACTGTGCTGTACCTCATAATTGATCTATTGTTTCAACAGCAGATAATTCCTTATTTCCACATAATTATCTCTTTTTAGTGCCTCACACTGTATCCTGATATTAGCTGTAATCACTAATAATTTACCCTGAAGCCAATCTGAATCTGCAAAGCACAATATTGGCCTTGGTGAGCATTTATGCTTTCAGATAAAATTCTCTTTTGTTGTTGTGAAGAGGAACCAAGCCATTGTAGTTACATGCTTTTTTGGATTAGGGTGTTGAACTGGGTATAAACTTGTTTGGTTTTGTTACTGTTCATTTATGTTAATAACTGACTACTGCCGAAAGACAAAAAGAACTACTGCTGAATCCTGTTTCTGTGTTTTTGCCCATAGAGGCATTATATTTATTTGGTTTCAGGGTATTGTATTACTCAAGAAGTGGTGCATGATGCTTTAGATTCTGAATGCCTGTTGGCCCTTGCCTGTACAGTTAGCTTTTGTGAGCTTGAAAGCCTCTGGCCCTATTTTATAAAATTACTGCTCACTCATACTTTCTGAGCTTGATTTTCCTCAGAGTGACTTCCTTCAAGTTACTGTTGATTTATAACAGGTTCTATTGGTGATGGGAGAAGTGAATCATACTCTGCATGTGTTGCTTTTAGGAGACTAGCAGTGAGACATTACATAATGCCAGGTTTGGTTTGCCTTTTTCTTTTATAGCCTTCCTGCTCTTTCAGCATTTGCTGCCTGAAGAACCAATGAGCTGCTCTGGGCATACAGCTGAGGCCTCACAACTGTGCTGTTTTGAGCCTAAAGCCTTTAAGGTTGTAGAGTGAGGCTGGAAGGGACCTCTGAAGGTCATCTTGTCCACGCCCCCCACCCCCCCTCAAGCAGGGACACCTAAAACCATTTGTCCTGTAGCATGTCCAGATGCCTTTTCAATATCTCCAATAATGGAGACTCCACAGCCTC